CTATCATCTTTACAGTACTTTATATGAATTAATCGATCGATTTAATACGAGTGAAATTCATCTTTAGACCTTTTGTAAGGGAAAAGAAGAAGAAGTTTAGATCCAACATTTAGTCCAACGCCATTGGCACTTAGGTTGAATTTAATGCGACAAAATTATTGGACCAAAATCACATTTGTCTTCATATTCTCAATTATGGTGGCCTACCTTATACCCCTTCATTCTAGCACATACCACAAGAACAAAACCCTCATCCCACTTTATTTATCTTTCAATTATTATCGTTATCGTGACATTAAAAAAATATAAATAATGATGTTTATGATATAAAAATATAAATAATTTAAAAATTATGATGAATGATAATGATTCCCAAATTACATATCATATACTATCTTTTAATTTCGTTCATAAATTCATTTTAGGTCTTGAGAGCAAAGGGAAACAAATGACATAATTGAAAACTATATATTTTTTAAAGTAATGTTTAAATTTAAGACTTAATTAAAAAAAATGTGTAAATTATATTTCTTTTAGATATGTGTTTAATTTTATTTATTTAATTAGGTGAATAATATTACAAACGTTATCATTTTAGGTGTTTGAGCCGTGACTACGTTGAAGGACATACATATCTTTTATAAAAGTTTAAATTTTTTATTTAAATTATAAAAGTTAATATGTTTATTGAAAAACTCTAACTTTTATAAAATTACAAAAAAATCTTAAATTCATAAAAAAATTCCTAAAATCAACCACAAATCTCTAACTATAACCTCAAATTTCTAAAATCCTAACCATGATATGTCGTCGTCATCGATGCCGCCGACATTGTTCTTGCTATCGCTTGAGTTGTCAAGCCATGCAAATGTTCGATTATTTTTTCAAATATCACATCGTCGATGGATTATTTCCCTGAATATTGCGATTATTTCCTTAAATGACGTGTCGTCAGGTGGAGGCACGATCGTGGTAGGTTCAATCAACGACGGTAAAGACGACGATAATGTGGGTATAGGAATTAGATTTAAGACTTTTCAAAGTTTTATTTTTTAAAGATTTTTCGAAAATTTTTGGATTTTTCAAAAAAAATTATATAATTTAAGTTTTTTATTTTAAATAAATTTTTAAAATTACATGCATGCGACATGTGTTTTTAACGACAAAATTCAACGGACGTTATGGTTTAGGCACTTGAAATGGTAATATTTGTAACGTTAGATACCTGGATGAATCAAAAAAAGTTTAGGAACCTATTTGAGAATAACGATATAGTTTAAACATTTATTTTCTAATTCAACCTAAATTTAATAAAAAAATCAATCACTCGTTGATAGGGGTAACTAAAAAAAATTGATTTTTTCCTATTTTGAGTTATTCAAAGTCGAGATATTCGAATTATTTGAGTCAAGTCAAATTATCAATTCAGTTTTCGAGTTTAAGTCGATTTGAAATTTTGAAATGTCAAGTTACTCAGAAACTTGAAATTTTGACTTAGTATTTTAACAATTTTACGATTTAATCTTTGATTTCATTATTCATTCAATTCCTCCTTCATTTTAAGTATTTTTTTATACCAAATTTAAACCATATCCTCCTAAAACATCATTGAATACATATGTACTTTCAATTTATATTTTCAATTACAAATTTTCTAGTTTTTTAATTTAGGCCCTCAATTTTTCATAATTTCCTTATTTATTCAATTCATCTTTTAGTTTAAGTATAATTTTTTACCAAATTTAAACCACATGCTCATATACCGCAATAAAAATACTTATGTAACTTCAATTCTTACTCTTTTACTAAAAATATACCCTCTCTTTTATTTAGTCATTTAACTTTACATTTTATTCAATTTGGTCTTTTGATTATAATTGTTTGCAAATTTTTTATTCCTATCAATTCCTTAACTTTTTTATACTCCAATCAATATTTTACCCTCAAAATATTTTCTTTAAAACGTAAGATTATGAATATATTTTATAATTTTATATTGTATTTGATATATTAAAAAATATTATGATGAAAAAAAATATATATATATATATATATATATATATATATCTTATATGGTTAGAGAAAAACGAAAATTTGGAACAAAACATTGTCATAATACTATAAATAATTTTAATAAAATTAGTATAAAAACTTGAATAACTCGACTTAAATTTCTTAAACTTGACTCGACTTGAAAAACTTTCAAATTAAATTCAAGTTATAAAATATAATTTATCAACTCGAATAACTAAATATTTTTTTTACTCAACTTAGCTTAACTATACTCAATAGAATGCTTACCATACTTGTTGATAATATTTAAATATAAATTGAATGAAAAAGAAAAGATGTGCGGAGGCAGGCAAGCAGCGGTGGATGATATCAGTTCCAAGTTCAGAGTTAGCAGACAAAACTTGAAAAAGCGTGTGGGTCCCAATTGGACCAGAATCTCTAGGTTGACTTTTCTTCCCACGGTCGCAATCTTCTTTCACAGAGTGGGGGCCATTTTAAAAATTTTACTCCCCACCTTCCCACGGTGTTCGTGAATCCCACCTCCACGTTAATGATAACCACGTTCGCGCGTATAACCAACGGGAGACTGAAATTGAAACGAGTGATGCGGATGGAGAGAACCGTCACCTTTGGCTTTTTTCTAGATGATTTGCATTTGCATACAAAGGGGGTGTGGGACCCACTTCCGGAAAAACGCCCGCCTGAATGCGGAAACTGCTCTGACAACGGTTTCCCGCCAAATTAGAAAACACAACAAATTTGTATTATTAATATCGCCTTCCCGTACCCTATTTTTATGAATAATTATACCTTTGCACATCATACATCAAAATATATCAATAATTAAATTAAAATTAAATAGAATTATAATTGTTGATCAAAATATGATAAAATGATATTTTTAATCATTTAATATTTTAAAATTTTAAAATTTTAAAATAAATATTAAATTTTAGATTTTGTTAAAAATATAAGTAGGTAGAGGTGGCAACGGGGCGGGGCGGGACGGAGTGGGGCGGAGCGGGGGTGGTTTTGCATTACCCATTCTGTCCCCAACACCTCTGGGTACAGTTTTGGAAATCCATATTATATGTTTCTAAGTTTTTTTTTGTTCCCATACCCATCACTTACGAATCTCTGCGGGTTTCAGTTAATCCTCATCAAAAAAAAAAAATAAACAAACATTTTTGAAACTAATGCAACATCTAAAATTTGTAAGAAATAACATATTGTCTCAAATCGATCTATATCTATAATATGAAAGTTTCAAACGTCAATATTCATCTAACACCCAATGTATATGTACATCTTAACAATTTTCGATCTCAACAAATCAATGTTATATTAAATGAGAAAATATCTCAACTTCAATTTTAGTTCTTTTAAGATGTAAAAGTGATAACATATATTCTCACGTATATTTTTTTGGGATACTCACAGTTAATTTTGTAAAAAGTATCGGGGATCCCCATGGTTATTCACACGGGTACGGTTCGGTTAGTCTCACGGTTCGGATATATCAATCCCTATTCCCATCCCCATTTAACCATAGAAAATAAATGGGTAATACAAAACCGTCCCCGCCCTGCCCCTTTGTCGCCCCTAAATATAAGTATCGATAGTTAATTATCATTAAAAATTTTATTTTTAGAAAACATATTGAATTTCATAATTTATTTTAAAATTATAAATTCATTTTAAAATTAAAATTAAAATTAAAATTATTAAACAAAAGTTAATAATTAAATCGCATTGCTGAAAAAATTAATTTCAGTTTTTGATAATTGAAATTGTTAGATCTTAAAATTTATAAATTATAGATTTTAAAAATTTAATCATAATTGAATAAAAAATATTTATAAAATAATGTGATGAATTAAAAAATTCATAAATTTATAATTTTAAAAAACATTTCATATTTTCAAAAATAAATTATGAATTTCTATATTTTTAAACAATTTTTTAGAATTATTACTTAGAAATATTAAAAAATAATAAAAAATAAAACTTTATTTATAATTGAGGGGTAAGTGAGATTATGTTATTAATTCAATTATAGTCAAAGTTGTAGTATATATTTTATAAAAAAATTTAAAATTTAATATATATTATATAACTTTTGAAAGTTAACATCTAAAAAGAATTATTATAATATTAATGATCATTTAAAATTTTATTTTACAAACTAATAGATTAATAAAAAAACAGCCCTTAAATATTTTAATATTTAATTAATAAAGATAATAAAATTAATTGAATTTGAGAATTAAATTGATGCGCTTTAGAGATAAAAATAATAAATTGAGTCTACTATAAGAGTAGAAGTGACCCTTAAACCAAAAATAAAATTAAAAACTTTTTCTAGTTCATTACTTTATATTGATTAAGTTAACAAAATCCTATTTTTGCTTAAATATTCAATTATTGAAATCCTTTTGTTAATTAAAACAAATGAAAAGAGAGAAGGGTTCAGAGATTTGAGGTAACTCTCAACCGACGCTGAAAAATATTAATTATTGCATAATTATTTATAAAATATAGTATTCAATAAATTAAATTTTAAATCTAAACGCAATACATAATCCTTAAATATAACCTATGAAAATACTAAAATCCAGCCGTTGAAAATTTTTCACTGAAAATACATGAAATAGTTTTTCAATATATATTTGTGTCTCTTTGTCTCGTTGCATGGTTGAATATTAGCTGTCAAATGAGAAACCAATAAGAAATTATTCACAGAAGAATTAATTATTATTTTGTTCTTACATGTTTTTTATTTATATATTTAATATTCTGTTGGCATATAAAATTACAATATATCGTGTAAATTTTTTTTAAAAAAATAATTAAATTGCCAAATTGGTTAACAGTATTAAACAAATAGTACTTAGTATCTTGTTTTCTAAAAAATCCTTATAAAAACTCTTTACCAAGCTCCATTTCTTCTCCGCTCGTTTCCCAGATTTTTGATTTTCCATACGCTCTCTTTCCCAGGCTTTAGCAGTGCTGAGTTAAGCCAAATATCCCAGTTTTGGGATTAAAGGAATTTTGATTCTTCATTCAAGTTTTCAACTTTTCAGACGCAAAAACCTGACTAGTTTTTGACAACAAACCTTCTGATTTTTAGCTACCCAAAGAAAGCTAAGCTGTTCTTAGTTGTTTTGTCGAAGGAAAAATAGAACGAAACTGGGGTTTGGACTCTGGGACGTTGATGATTGTTTTTTGTTGAAAAGGAAATGAAAAACTTCATCATAAAGTCTTTAACTTTGCCTTTTCCTTGAGAAAAAAGTTTTTGCTGAAAATTTCTGCGTTTTCCTGATTTGGGTCGTGAAGATTAAAAGCTTATCGTATAAGGCTTGAGATTCTTCTTTGAGCTGTGTTTTTGGCAATGCAGACTTTATACTCTTGGTGAGTTGCTTAACTCCAATATTTGTTTCCCTTTAGTTTCTTTAGCTGTTCTTTCCCTTTAATTCAATACTCTGTTTTTCCATGAAACTGGATTCCTTATTATGGTTGCTTTGTTTTTCTGTACTTGAATGTTGCCTTGAAATCATTTGTGTAATCATGGTTTTGTTAAGTAAAATAATCATTGGTCGGTACCATTATGCTATTCTTTGGACTTAAATTGATGAGATTATAATATTACAATTAGAAATTAGATGTACTTATGGTTCTTCCAAACATGATTCTTTTTTTAATCAATGGGGCCATTCATAAGTTAATTACACACAGAATTGATTACTCTGCTTCCCCCCCTCCCCCCCAAAAATTATTTACATGAATTAGTATATATTCTTTTACTGAAGTTTGATTATTGTGCTTGGCATGGATAATCAATGGTCCTCTACTGGTTTTTGAGTTTTAGTCCTATAGCATATTTCTGATGTATAAACATCTTCTTATTCCAGCATTATTTATTTATTCTCCCAAGCCAAAAAGTTTGATGATAATGTTTTTTAATGAAGTTGTTGTGCTTTAATTATTGAATGGATGTTTATGGAAGTATATGTCTCTGATACTTGATTGTATGATTATCCACTGACCATGGAAGTGAATGTTCTTTTCCCCGGTTAATCTTATTTTATATAAGCAATGCAATAGAAATGATTAGAGCTCATTTGCATGCTCAAATTGGATGAATTCTACCATGGATGCTTCTCTGACCAAAAAAAAAATTCATTGATGGTCATCGACGCAACTGCAGTAGATGATTGACAACTGCCGGATGCCTTTCTCCGATGTCAAAACACGAAATGCAAAGGAACAATTACCATTCTCAATAAGGCCTTAGGCCCTCAAGCCTTACTATGTTATTGTTTTTGTTTTGCTCATGCATTTCTTTTAAAACTAGACTGAAGTCTAGGTTTGGAGGAAAGCAAGTTTGAATCATTGGTTTAATTATGTGTATATGGATGATTTCATTTCATGTTAGTAAAATGGCCATGAATCCAGAGTTAACAAATTGTAATTAGATGATCTTCTACTGCTGTAAGTTCGTGAATATTCTATAGTAATCACGGTCTTTCAGTCTAGTTAATGTACTTTCTTGGATATCTTTGACCATGCTTTTTGTGTAAGTTGGGTTTCGGAGTGTGATTCTTTTCTCTTTTAAACTAGTGAAGAAGCGATGGAGATCAGAATGATGATGGAAAACAAAAGGGGCCCTTGCTCTGTCGACCATAGCAATCTCGCTTCTTTGGCATCGAAACGGAAGAAGGCTGATTTGTCTATCACCACAAAGGTTTTTTTACCCATCTTTACTCCACATTAAATCTCTTCTCAATGATACATATTATATCTACATCCATTTCTTCACTATGTACTAAACTAAGTGCTATATGCCGTTCGATGTTGTTTGTTTCTAATATTTGTATTAATCTCAGTTTACTCTTTCTGGCAATAGGATAGAAAAGAGAAGTTTGGCGAACGCATTGTCGCTCTGCAGCAGCTTGTTTCACCATACGGAAAGGTAAATTTCTTCAATTAATTATTTACATCGGAGTAGCATTTATTTACGTCTTTAATGATGGAAGTTGCCTATCCTGTTATAACTGTGAAGCCGATTTGGTTCATTGCAGACGGATACAGCTTCTGTCCTCCTGGAGGCAATGGAATACATACAATTTCTTCACGAACAAGTTAAAGTTGGTTTTCGTTTCCTACCGTACTTGAATTATCCTCGCAATTAACATTTCGGTATGTTAAGAAACTTTCATGTATAAATGTCAAATTTAATTTGAAATTTCTTGGCCTTCTGTGTTTTTTCGGGTATTTACAGGTGTTGAGTGCTCCATACCTCCAAACCACACCTACAAATATTATGCAGGTGAGCATCAAATGGACCCAAAGTACTACCAATTTTTTATATGCAACACGAAACACAATCATAGTTCAGAAGTTATGGCTGCATTTTAACGGGATTTTTTTTTTTGCTTCCAGAATGTAGAGCATTATAGCATGAGAAACCGAGGTTTATGTCTTGTTCCTATCTCTTGTACCGTCGGAGTCGCTCGGAGCAATGGTGCTGATATTTGGGCTCCCATCAAGACGACATCTCCAAAATTTGATTAAGCCATCAAGCAATTCAGTTGACATCTCATTTCACGGCAACTGGAAGGCTTCGAAATCCACTAAATCGGTTTATCCGACTTATCCAATGCACAAAATTTCCTGGCCATAAAAAAAACTTAAATAGGTAATGAACTAAGATAGGATTATGGTGGTAGGCAAAATTATTGGTAGCATTGTGTATCTAAAATGCAGTCCTGCGCCTCTCTAGTTTTATGCTGGTGCCGGGAACGACATGCATTTAATCTATTCGGTTACAAAAACTATGTAACTCTTAAAACAGTATATATCGATATATTAAGTAGTACCCGAGCCAACTAATGTGCTGAGCTATGATTAGTGGAGGGGTGGTGTCCTTTTGAAGAAACCCATGCCTCTCAAAATAGGGGCTAAAGGTGGCATTAATGATCATGTTGGCCTCTGTTGTTGAAACTTGAGGGGTCATTTTTGAAATGGCATTTTCTTTTATCATCATTGGCCTGAATTGTGGACCACCGTCAGCAGCCATCGCCGGGATGCTTTCATGTTGAGAGAAGCACCGTAAACCCCAAACATAGGAAAATAAAATAGATGACAGGCTAATCCAATTTAGAATTGCCTTAAGGGGCATGATAGAAGCATTATTCTAGTTTGATCTATTTTCAGACAGAAAATAAGTCATGATCAACCACATAATTTATAAATGACAGGCTAGAACAAAGAAATCACCCAATCTTGCTGAATTAGGCTTTACTTTCTCTTGCAGTAACTGAACAAAAGTCTACGAGCTTGCGGATTTGGGTTGAACTTTCTTCTGCAGGAATTGCAGTATGTGTTCCCGTTCCCAATTGTCGGTTCTGCACAAGAATCACAGGAGTAAGAAGCCTCGTTGCTTCCACCCAAATGTAAGAAAGAATAATGAAAGCTAAATAATGGGGAGTGTTGTTTTCTAGGTCTTAAAAAAGGCTTGCAAAATTAAGCAGCTTTTTGTTCAGCAGCCCCGTCACATGGTTCGTTTTCCACTTCTTCCCTTTCCCGATAAGTGGAGAAAATGGAAATGAAACGAGCAGACTAAAGGAATGCAAAATTAAGATCAAGTCCTCGTTATGGGGAATCAATAACAATGTAAGAATCCAATAAAACCCATCTCCAAAGCATATTTCGTACCTTACTTGTAGAATCATCCGAGTCTTCGGTGCAACATTTCTTGCAGTCAGATATCAACTCTGTCATCAAAACATATAATTACAGTAAGGTTGATGCATGCAATGCATTTTTCTATTGTCTGGTCTTCAGTGCTGAGTTCAACATGTAACATAAACACATCAAAGCAACTGTATTCGTTAAATCTCCAGTGTCACACTTTTTTCCGTTAATAAAATGCATTATGCTTGGCACACAATGATGTTGCCACATCATACCAAGTCTTCCCACCTTAAAACTATTATGCGATGGTTCAGCATACTTGACAATAGCATCATAAAACAGTATAATCACAAGGCAATTTCATTTTGTACCTAATGTTCCAAATAGTTCTACATATAACCAGTGCGGTTAAGATGTTCCCAACTGCATGGGAGGATGACAACCAAATAAGTGTACAGTGAGCTTTTTCGTGCTAGATACATCTCACCACGGCTAACTGGTGTTGCAGTTAAAATCCAATTTGAGCCTAAGGAATTTGATTGCACAAAGGACTGAAGGAGGCAGGGCAATCAAATTTGAATGGAGCCTAAGGAACTAAAATAACATTTTTTTTATTGTTTTTCCGGTTTGTTTCGCCTTGATTAATTCGGACTAATTTACGTCACACCTAATTTTAATGAATAAATATCTCAATTGAAATTTTCACTTACATAAAAAAAAATTAAGACTCGAGACTTTTTATTTATTTATTGTACGCGTAAATGTTGTCAAATTGATTAGTAACAAAAGATTTATTTGAAACATGCCACGTAGAAAGGCATGTGATGAGATGGGTCCCCCAAATGCGAAAATTGTAAACCACAGGATCTAATCTAATAGGCACATGCCTTTTGGATATAAGATTTCCAAGATTTTCAGTGGTTAAATTCTCACGGAAAAAGAAGAAGAGTTTAAGTTATGGCTTACTCTTCAATTCCACAGCTTCCATCTTTCACTTTAAAATCCTCCCCATCATCTCACTGTAAGTTCCTTCTTCCTCTTTATATATTTAGTTGTAAAGAATTGGAGTTATGGCTTCTGAAACTTTATATTCACGCTAAACCTTTTTATCCAAATTCTGAAACTTTGTTATTAAAATCCTTTCCAGAAAGGTTTCTTATCCCTTTATGTTAACTTTCTTAAAAGAATTTATGTGTTTTTTCTGTGAATTGGGGGGTGCTTTGAGTGTGGATGTAAAAGATGGCTCCATTTTTGTAACTGAAAGTTGGATTAGAAGTCCAAGAAATTTCATAATATCAAGTTCATGTTGAATTCCTGGATTATGTAATACGATTTATTTGAAAAGAAACGAGCAGAATTTAGCCTTGTTCATGTTGGTTTTCCAGTTAGCTTTGAATTTGAGGTACTGCGCCTTCTGCTGCCAAAGCATGTGTCTTTTGTATTTATGGGTTTTCTTCAACAATACAAGTGTTTTAAACAGTCTTTTGTTGTTTTAAACGACAGCAAACTCAAGGTCGGTTGCAGTTCAGATAAGGTCCAGTTTCGAAAATGAGAGCTCCGGTACGGGAGTTTCGAATGATTCATTAGAACCTCCTAAGAAGAAGGTTTATCTCTTTCATTTTATCATTTGGTCGATCGTCCTTCCTTATATTCTTAATTTTGGCCTCCAACTTTCTTTTCTGCAGGCCAACGAGTTAACGACATCACGACGTTTGTGTCTGGCATGTCTATGTTCAAATCTAGCTTTAATTGGCACTTCTAGCAACTCTGCTTCGGCAACGACCATGGACGGTAATGAAAGGGCCGTGTGCCGGAATTGTTTAGGGAGTGGTGCTGTACTTTGTGAGTGTCACTTTGCAATTTCTTTCATTCTCTTTATTCTAACCGAGTCAACCTCTTTTTTTATTCACAAGATGTTAATTTGTTCTCTATTTAGGTGATATGTGTGGTGGTACAGGAAAATGGAAAGCTCTCAACAGGAAACGTACTAAGGATGTTTACGAGTTTACGGAATGTCCAAACTGTTACGGTATGCACTCTTCTTCCACTACATGTTTTATGATGCTCGATGGCATTCGAGCTGAATCTGCACCCACCGTGATGCAAATATATATGTTATATATCTGAACCCTGGCTATTGGTGTGAGCAGGCCGGGGGAAACTGGTTTGCCCTGTTTGTTTAGGTACTGGTTTACCCAATAACAAAGGTCTTCTAAGGAGGCCTGATGCAAAGAAGTTGCTTGACAAGATGTACAACGGTCGAATTGTGCCGATGTCTTAGGTGTGCCATGCATCTAAGCCTGGGATGTACAACATTAGAATTTTGCCGATGTCTTAGGCGTGTCATGCCTTTAGGCCTGGGATGTACAACGGTCCGGGTGTATAACATTTTTGAATATGTTCCTGAAAACTGGAGAGCAATTCATGGACCTATATTGGACACGTTGAATTTCTTCAATCTATTCATATGCATACAGTTCACTAAATTAATTGTTTTTGAAGCAAATAATTTATTTTTAGTGCTGGTATATACGGGAGCATTAACCAATTACAATAAAAAGAATACATGGTAATGCCATTTTCCCATTTAAGATAATATGTCAAAATAGACCTGAAGATTGACATGATAATGACCCAACTGCATTCTTTGCTGCAATAACTTTGCTCACTAACAGCCTCCACTTTGTCTCATCTTTCTTGCTCTGCTTCTGCATTTTCCCCTTAAAATGCCTATCAAAAAGAAATTCGGAAAAAAATAGTCATCGGTTTAGTGGATTTTAATCACCGACAACTACAATAACGGATCAAATCTTTCCATCAGGTTAGATCAAAATGCAAGAGAACAAGTACGAGCCAGCTTTGATAAATCTTCCTCTGTAAAATGTTTCTCTAAAGTGGTTATGTTAATGCTTACCTACAAAGAGGAACCTTGCAGGAATCGGACTCATTGCACATGCGGGAATGCAGTTCAAGAAGCTGCCACATGCGCTTGCAGTGAACACATCCACCAGGGACCCGAGTCTCACAATTTGAGAAATGACGCACTAGAGTTTCAAGTCCTTTACAAGCTGGAAAATTGCAGGCACCCTGGCTTCCTTTTAGCACCTTATCACGGGGTCCGATCGTCCTACAACCTTCCTTGCAAATGTGAAGCAGGGCCTCCATCGCCTCAAACAGTTGCAAGTAGACCTTCTTCTCTTCCATTTTTCTCTGCCGCTCTTGCTTTCTCTGAGGGAAAGAAAGCAATAACTAAAACCGATGATGCAAAACACAGGACATCATCTAAAACATAGGGTTAATCATCACTAAACTCTATTTCAAAATAATAAGAAGCCAATTACTTTAACATCAAGACAAGATCATATTTTCCATATCATTCTTACAGATAAGGCAAAGAAATAATTAGTTTGCCCAAATATATTTAAAAAGGTTTTCACTTACAGTATCTGCTTCAACAACAGACTCCACAAGTTCTTGCTCAAGAGCAGGATTGGCGCGCTTCATCGCTCTCCATCCTTCAGTTGAAGATATAGATTTGAAATTCTTTACTACCATACGGACACAAATTAAGGCGAGCCTAGGTGCATCACAGTTCCTTGCTAACTGAAGAACATCTATCACATTTTCTTTGGTAAGCCAACCTTGCTCCAGTGAGAAAATACAAACTCTTTTCAGTGACGGAATCGAGTAGGAATGTGACAAGACTAACAGATGGAGAACAAACTTTTTCAGCTCCTCCTCTTCATAGCTGCATTTCCGTTGAATAACACAAGGTATATCCAATTATACAAGGGACACAGATAAAGAACTCATACCGACCTTTTAACGCAGTGATGAAAAAGAAGAGAAAGGAACTAAACATAGCAAGTTGAAGAGACTGCAAATTTAGTTATTAGTATCATGCCATAATTGTCAAATGATAACTAACATGTTTCCCGGTTTTGGTTGCCACTTGAAACAATGGTGGAAATAGACAGTAAACCGGCATTAATAAGGATTTAGCACCAGATTCACAAACTACCACTGAAGTTATATGCAATAAGTATGCAGAAAAAGATTTCAAACATACCAAGATGAGTATAAAAAACGAATAAGCGCATAGACAGCTCCATGAGGTACTCCAGGGATTTTGATGTATCTCATGCCATGCTTGACTTTCAATATCCGGAGAACATTACCCAGCACAGGTGATGCAATACTCTGGAAAAGTGAAGGAAGAAATTTTAGCTCATAAAGCAGAAATCAAAATACAATGAATTGAAAACATTACATTTCTACAGCTTCAACCTTTCCACATGTATATGGTAAATAAATTAGAAGCGGTATTCTTCCAATTAAAAGGAAACCAATTGAAGCTTGAACATTACTTAAAATTTCTGTTTTTGAAGAAGAGCAGTATAAGACCCTAGGCTGAATTTCTAGTCGAGTTTAAAAGAAAACCAGAACTGTGCAAATCCTCTATCTAATAATTAGAAGAAAAGTCCATAACATTATGATGTAAATCAGGCCACCTTAATTGTTCTATGTCAAGAGATTCAGAGGAAAACATAATAAACTCACCAAAACATTAGAATGAGCAAGAACACATGATTTTTCGTTGGTGATAATACAAACATCTGCACCATACCCTTCCTTGAAAAGTGTTTCCCATGTATCCTTTGTTTCTTTCGGCACAAAACTACATTCACGAGGCCTCTTGGAATACTCAATTCTCGTACAAATTTTACTAGGGAGAGGTGGTGGTTTGGGAATGTTAGAGTTATCGGATGCAAAGGGAATAGGAGTTTCCAGCACAGGTAAAATATCAGCTGGATTTGCTTCTTCTACGCATAAATTTGAAGATTTACAAAAAGGCTCACTAGGCGAGGATAGCCATGCATAATCAATTGCTGATGGAGCCATCAAATAGAACTTCTTCTAATATCTGCACTAAAGTTACAAATAAAACCAAGAAATGAGAATAGAGCAACCAAAAGTGCAAAACATAAATTAATCCTAAATGAGTTATGAAAAGACATAAAACACACTGTAGTAGTTAATAAAATTTATAACAGGAAGATGAATCTGTACTAACATCAATAAACAAAGCAGAATAGCTAATAGAACCACCAGGAAAAGTATCAACTGCGTCCTTGTTAACGGCTAACTACCCTTAACTTACCATTAGGTCAGGAAAATCTTAAAACAATAAACAAGGATATCCCCATAGAACTATATACCATCCAAAAATTTTAATAGCCACAATAATACTTTAATAAATCACTAAATATATCTTTTTAGTGTTATCTTCTGATTAAATAATATAATGGGGGATTATTGGATTAATACAACGCTCAACTGCCCACCTGTCCATTTCCAATATGATTAAAACACGAGGGGGTTTTCTCTCCTTTTTAAGGGCATACAGAAGAAAGGGATGATACAAAACCCTTCAATTAAATAAATTTACTTTTGGAGGCCAAGAAAATATGGTAAAATAATAAAAACTAAAGCATTACTCTTTCGTTATTTCTTTAACTTTCCTTCTTTTTCTGGGCAGAAAAATAACGATTTATACCTTTACAATAGAAGCAAATCCTCCTTAGCCCAGTGAAAAACACTCGAGATTAGCTCGATCTTCTTCGGAGTTCTTGATAATCTGAGCTACATAGCCAAAGACACTGCACAAAAAAGAGATATTTATGTAAATAAAATCAATTATAAGGAAAACTAATTTCTATTTGCTTCATGTAAAAAATATGAAAAAAATTACACCAAAATATTTATAAAAAAACTTTGCTTCACAAAAATTTATGCACTAAACCGTACAGTAGAATCAATAGCTAATAACAAAAAAAGAGAGAATATTAATCGTGAATTCGTATAAATTTAATTAAAACAAAGGAATAAAAGGAAGCTGCTGATGATTATGAAGGAATGACCTAAAAAAAAACTTATTTTTAAAGGAAATATGAATTTAAAAGAAGAAAACATATAAGAATTAAAACTGACCTTTGGATCATAAGGCTAAAGAAAATGGAAGTGAGAGCTGGAAGAGGAAGACAGTGATACTATTGGAGCTTAAGAAACGACGCAGTTTTAGTGCAGAGGGGAGCGAATGGAGAAAGATAGGACTGAGGAAGGTAGACGGAGACGAGACGAGACGAAAGTTCGCTAATTTGTTTGATTGGTGATGGATAAATAACAAATTTATTTATTTATTTTTTTGTTAAAATAAAAGCAAGGGTCAATTACACTTGTAGCAATCCAACTATCATATTGTTGTTATTCTGGTTATTTAACTACAAAAACTTTTAATTTAATCATTAATATTATACAAATTGATTATTTCGATTATTCTTCGTTAGATCGTTAATAGAATAATTACTTGATATTTTTAATTTGAACTATTTTATAACCTTTTAAAGAAATTATTCTATATATTAAATTAGTAACATATGAAAAGTAAAGGATATTTTAATTGATAAAAAAAATTCTTCTAGTTCGTACTTTTATACATTATAGATAATAACATATTTAATCATTAATAATTATACTTTATATCAACTTGGTCTTGATTCTTAAAAACATTCAAAAACAAATTAAAATTATAAAAGTTTTAAATATAAATATATGTTTTACACTTATAAATATTATATGAACAATATATAAGGTCTATAAAATATATTAGACATTTTATAAAAAAATGTTCCATATTAAAAATTTTAAAACAATGAGATCACGTAAATATGATGTTATTCTTTCTGGATAGTAATAGATACTTAGTTTGACTTTAATGGAAAATACGAGAATCTCGGTAAGATGAAAATATTATTATATTTTAATTAATATTTTTAATGGAATATGAAGTAACGTAATTTTGATGAATAAATTAAGGGTAAATTATAAATTTAATACTTGAACTTTACTTTTTTTCTTATTTCATTCGCTGTATTTTAAATCTTTTTAAAATTTTCACTAAATTTAACACATTGAGTTTTATTGTCACTCAACTGTTCTCTCACTAACGACATTATAAATGAGCTTTTATATAGATGCATAATGACGTTATTTTGATAAAAAAATGTTTTTTTAACAATATCATTTTAACGCCGTTAAATATTTAACGACAAAATTAAAAAAAATCCTAATGTATTAAATTTAGTGAATAAACTGAAAACCTTTTAAAGTTTTGTGAACAAAACATGAGAGAGAATACAGTTTAGTGATAAATTTGTAATTTACCCATAAATTAATAAATAAAACTATGGTTAACGCATATTGATATCGCAATCAGTCGGCTTTGGAATTGAAAGCATACCACTTGATTTTTGTGAGCTTTAATCAATGCAAGTTTTGTTTTCATATGTACATCCACGCGGCAACCTTGTGATGAAATTCATGCAACCAACAATATGTAGACACGTGGACGATTGAGAGATATGGGGCGGCGGAGGAAATATAAGAATGACGTGAATTGGAGTCGGACTCAGTTTGCAATTAAAATGAGTATCAAATCCAACCGTGACGCGGATCCCACCGTCCACTGTGACCTAAAACCTGCTCCAAACAGTGATGAGACTTTGAAATTTGATTATTTATTTATTTGTTATTTTCTTTATTGATAGTTTTTATCTTAATATTTTTTTTAATTTTAAAATTTAAAATTATTTTGATTAGTTACTTATTTTATAAACAATATTTACTATTCTATTATCTTTATGATTTATTTTCGTGACATGACTCAAACATAAATAAAAAAAATACATGCAGACGTATATGTCGAAGTCAAGTGTATGCGAACATGAGCGCGACACACACACACATATATATATTATCTTCAATAGATCAATAGATTCATGTTTAAAAGATTAATTTAAATATTTAAAAAAAATCATATATAAATAATGTGAGATTTGAAAATATCTTTACAAAAATTTATTGTTTTGAGATGTCAAATATATTTCTTAAACTTGATTAGATTTGTACCAGTACGACAATCAAAGATAATTTTAAATACTGAGATTTCGATTAAATCATTAGGAAAAAATTATCTTTGGTCGTTGTTCTGATACGAGTCTAGTTAAGTTTAAGAATTATATTTGACAGTTCAAAAGCAACAAGATTTTGTCATGATATGCTCAAATCTCACAATTTTAATATATGAATTTTGTAAAGCGCTTGAGTATAGTATTTTAAATGAATTCATTGAGTCATTAAAGATAAAACTTTATACACATATGTCTCATCGTCCGACCGACTTATGCACATATAAATACGTGTGCTTGACACGTATGGTTCGTGTTTATATCGTAATTGAATTAACGACTAGTGAAGTTATATCTACGAATTTGTGGATCAAATAAGTTTAAAATAAATAAAAGGTATAATAACATGAGAAATGATTTGGGAAAATAGTGTGTTGCTGATATTTGAGTTGGAATGTTAAGTATGAATATGTATAAACATTTTATTTAAAGTTTTTTTATGTTCATCCTAACATGTGTAGAGTATGAATCATGAACATTGGTTTCATAAGATATTTAAAAATTTTAGGTGATCACTTGGTATATTTTCATGGTGTTATGTCATTATACTTTAACAAAATCCAAAAGCGAAGATGAATTGAGAGAAGTTGTTAAGCTTCAACTCAAGGCTAATGTGAATCATGAGATATAAGTTAGGGATTAAATTTTGTAACTTTAGAAAGTTCAGAATTAAACTTTGATTTACCCCTTTTCTTTTCAAAGCTAATAATGGGTTAAGGATAATTGATCGGCCCGGGGCCGGGTTGATGTATCGGACTGGACCCATTCGTAATCAGAAGACTTAGCCAGCATCCGATGGACCTCAGTCACATAGTTCACTGCTCGGTTAGAAACGGACCAAAGACCCCACACTGCGAAAGAACTGAACAATACGAGCATTCATATACAAGAAGGAAGCGATTGCAGTTTGTCCCTTCGGGGACATCCGATAAAATTGGAACGATACAGAGAAGATTAGCATGGCCCCTGCGCAAGGATGACACGCACAAATCGAGAAATGGTCCAAATTTTTTTTATTCTTTTTGCATCTCTTTTTCGTTTTGAATTTAGAGGTTTTTGGTTTCTTTGTTTTTCTGGGTTTGGTCCGATGTTCATCTACGTGGGTTGTTCTTCAGATTGTAGTTCAGAGTTTTTTCTGGGTTTGATCTGTTAAACTCTCTCTAACAGTCAATACCTCAATAGCCATCTGTTTGCTTTATTATTGTTTTTCTGCAAAATTTTGTGGGTCTGATTTTCATCTTCACTGGTTTTGTGCACTGAAGATTTTACTTAAGAGTTTTTGTTTCTGGGTTTGATCTGCTTTACTCTCTGAAACAGTAAATACCTCAAAATCATTTGATTGGATTTTCCTGGAATTAACCTCTGCCTTTGTATTTTGTTAACTTTAGGAAAACAAAGGATCCTTCAATTTCTAGAGTTAAAACCGGTGGGGAAAACATATATTTCTATGATTAAATTATAAGCTGTTGATTGGTTTTATGCTTGCTGTAAAGCATGGAATTTCATGCTCAAATACTCTGAACTTTGTGTAGGAATTTGATTTACCATTGATCACATTTCACATTGTAGTTGAATCATAGAATTCTTTCTAAAGCTTTGCAATTTAAACAATGTGATCATCACAAGAATTTCTATTACATAGTATTTATATATTTACTACTCACCATTGCTAATTGTCTGGCATATTTGCTAGATTTGATGAACTGGGGTATGAATTTCTACACTTAGCCATGTTTCCCTTTGGAAAATTGCAAGTGTTTTCAACAGGGTTTTAAATTTTCAATGTGTTTTTGCAGTCAATTGATATCCCTTTTCTTTTTCCTTGAAAGTGATTCATTTTATGATCAGGTTTCGTGTTTCTCAGTATGGGAATTTGTCGAGAATGACAGTGGATTGGGAGCTTTGATGCAACATACCCATGAGAGAGCCGACGGACGAGAACACAGTGTGGCGCGAAGGTACTTTAAATTATATGCATACATACAGTGATACAGAGACTAATACTACACATTTGTGGAATCATTTGTTATAGTAAATGGCATATTTTAGAACTAGAGTTTGCATCTAGGGCAGTGATTGATTTAGGCCTTTTTTACACTAAATCATATGAAATTCCTTAGTACTAGATTCAGGTTGCATCTTATAAAGGAAAGGTCGTTTTTTTGGTACAAAAGAAGTCCTACCTTAAGGATAGGGGAGGGAATGTAAGTGTTCGGATTCGATTTCTGTTGGCTGCATTACGGAGTACAATCTTCTGGTGATTATACTGAGTAACTCAAAGAGTGTAAATCTCAGATTGATAATGTTCCGGAACGAAGAATGCTGTTGAATGAGATGAAAGTGGTTGGCATGCTCGTTTCAAGTTTCATTTTAGAAATATGAACTATCTTTTATCGATGTTCGGATGGTTCATTTAGATATACCAAGTGTACTTAACAATTTCAAACTTGTTGAAACATGGAACTCAGAGATTTGCTGCTTTAAAGAAAGAAGAGGAACATCAGAGGCATTGTAAAATACGGAAAGCCGTTATCCGATTGTGGATCGAACCATCAGAGACCTTTCCCCGTTCTCAAAGAGTATCAACTATCAAAGCCAGAATCTCTGTTGCTCTACTATGTGCTGAACAGGTATGTCAGAACTCAGAACAACATGAAAAAGCTTCGATTTCTGGCTTCCAGTACAAATTGAAGAAATGAATAATTCTCCAACTGTTGCCGAAATGCAGGGCCTTGGAATCAAGCAGGAAACTTGGATCATATCAAAGGATCATCCCCTAGAGATTTATCGGTCGACCAAATGCTTACCTTGCAGCATTTGATGTCCCATAAAAAGATTATGGCACCAGCCCTAGGAACTACTGCCACATAGAATGAGGAGTGTTGGACCCCATTTGGGGATATGTGGGGGGAAGAGACTGTATATAGGGTTGACCTTCAGCATCAGATTAATTCTCCAGACTTAGGAATTTGAGGACAACGTTCAGTGAAAGCTTTAGATTCTGGGGTAGAGTACACAATTGATATTACAATTATAGGGGTTGACTCGTTGATTCATTGACTATAAAAAATTATAAAATGATCATGATTATAAGATATTGTTTTGTTGAATTCTCTTTACTATTAAAAATTAAAAAAATGGTCACTTGATTATTCACATGTTTCAAATTCTTCCATTTCCATTAAAAAGTTGACGGTCGTTTGTGTTGGACGTTAGTCTATTGATTGAGATATGATAAAATTATATTTTAATGATATCTACTAGCATCGCCGTTGCTTTCAAGCACTAGTTCGACCATATAATATTTTAAGTACTAATTCAATGACATAATGTAAACAGAGTCGATACACAAAATACAACTCAAAAGACTTTGAGATCAAATTTTATCATATCTCAGTCAACAGATTAACATCCAACTCAGACGACCACAAATTTTTAACATAATAAAACAAGTTTGAAACATATAAATAGTCGAATGACTATTTTTTATGCTAAATAAACAGCAGAAATAAAATTTTCGTGCTCGTTTGTTAAACAAGAACACCAATAATACATATTCAATTTATTTATGCTTGTTTTAAACTCATTTAACCAATGATTTAAAGTTTCCTACACGAGTGATACAATACTCGCTATAATGATCTATTGCCTTTTCCAACTCTTAAGCAAATAAACAGGAGCTTTTTTTTACCAAGTCTTAATCACTAAGCAAATGTTGTTGCCGTAACATACTTCCTTTCTACAAAAGTAAAAATAATTGGATGACGAACATATCAAATTTGATGATAATCTATCATCTAAAGCAAAGAAATGTGAATCTATACATAAATTTCAGTTTAATTTTTTAGTGTTTTAATTATAATGATATCAAATGTGAACCACTCATCATGACAAAAGTCGGTAAACTCGTATCGTCATTCTGAAGGAAACATCTACTATTATTATCGATTCATACGTACTAAGAAAATTATTAAAATGAAATATATATATATATATATATAAAATTAATGTAGAAAAATTAATTCTCTCTCGCATATAGCATGTGAATGCATGTTACTTTCTAGGTTTCTTGGGTCTATCCGTCCAGGCATATGGCGTGGCGATGACTAGGTTTCTTCATAAAGAAGAACTTTTTAGGTCCCGACAAGGCGTCTGCATACAGTAACGCACAATAAAATTAAGTAAAACCATGGGTGATCGCGCGATTCGCTTCATCTTTCTGTACAAAACCATGCGAAAGTTGTGTAACTCGACAAAGAACCCTATCATATTCCCCCCTTAAATGATGGCTCTCTGCTTCATTGTTTTTACGGCTACATCACTTGGAACGAGAGGAAACAACGTCGAATATAACAATGTCCAAGGCCCGTTCCAGTAAGCACGAGGTATAGTAAAGATAACTGCATTCATTCCTTGTAATTGAAGATGCTACCTATTTACTGAAAGAATAAATTTATTGAGTTGTTTTGTTGCTAATTTTTGAAGAAAAAGGCAAGGAGACGCGTGAAGGCGAAATGTAGAAAAGAGTTAAAGGTTGAGATGGAGGATATAAGAAAGGAGCAAAAGAGCATCAAAGAAGCACAATCACAACTACGGGAGAAACTCACGGCAACCAGAACGGAGTGTGAAGTATTACGAGAAGAAACTAAGTTGATGATCCAGCGAAGTGCGTCTACCCAACTTCGTCTATCTCTCATGTTCAATATAATCAAGGCACGAGAGGACGCCGATTTCGATAAGGCTGCTCACTTCACATTATTGCTACGGTTGTTTTTACATATCGGCTTTTGCATAGGATTCCAATTCAACATTTAAGAACAAATGGTTGACATGTTTTTTGTTCCTTCTGGTTTTATTTGCAGTGAAACAATAGCGACGGATGACGTGTAGCAGCAAAAAGACTATCTTCGGTCCAAGTGTGGTGTTTTTACTTTGTTACTCCACCTTTGTTTTAAGAATAAAAAAACTGTTGCATCAATATTCGATCCATTACAGATCTTAAAGCTGCAGGCTTGGCACCCTCTTGTTCTCTCTCTCTCTCTCTCTCTCGCTCTCGCTCGTGTGTTTGTTGAAATTCTAAGCATGAATATGTATTGTGCGTTGAAATTTATCATTTTAAATCGCTAAAGCATTTGAATAAATTGGCACGGATGGTTTTAGTTGGTTAAAATTTTAGATTTGAATTCTTAGAATATGATAATAATAGATATTTCACGAGTAATATTTACTATATTTGTGTTATTATTTAGTTTAACAAAATTAGTGTAATACTCTTAAAATCGGTCTAGTAATTTTTCGATTCTTGATGATCAATATTTTTTTAATCAAGTTTTCGAATAAATATGTTTAAATTTGGAACGTGAGAAAAGTTTGAAAACCTTTTTATGTGCATGATTTGTTAGAGGACCTAAGTCTTAATTTGAGTTCAATAACCCAAAATCCTTTCAGCACCAGATTATCTATATATATTCAAATTAAGGCAACATACCGAAGAAAAAGAAGTAGAAAGTCAAGAAACAGTAGGAGGTTCTGATTATAAAAAAGGAAATACATGATTCCTAATAAAATCTAGGTGAAGAACAAAAATATACAACATCCTATCAACCAACAACACATTTTTCTAATTTTATAGGTGTTTGGACCGTCTTCTAATTGAGGGTTTTACGTATGATCATGTTCAAGGTCCTAAAATCGGTCTTTTTAGTACGACTGTTTTACCCTTAGCCTCCTAAAACAGAACAAGAAAATATAGAGTATTGAACGAATGTTGAAGTGGTCATGGGAAGTTTGAGTAGTACGTATTTTTCGTAAAGATAATCGGAACACAATGTAGTTGATGCTTTGGGTTTTCTCCTTTTTGATAAAAAAATAAATATAAGGTATGCTATTAAACCTGCTTTGGTGATATTTACAAACAGGCTTAACTTTTACGTAAATAAAATGATATATATATAAAGGAAGTGTGTGAGAGAGAAAAGCATAGTTACATTAATTAATTAACTTAAACACAGCTACTGATATTATAATTTCTTAATTAGTATATGTATATTTACAATATGTTAATGGTCATGATCATCACCATCGTTTTAATCTAACTCAGTCTGGGTCAGGTAGAACTGTGGTATACGAAATAGTACTGAAAATTAGAAAATAAAAGGCAGCCATGAAAAGCAAGCAAAAATAAAGAAACATTAAATTAACCCTAAACCCAAGCTAGCTAGTAAGACCATAAAGATTCCGCCATGTTAGCCTGATCAACCGTGTCCATGCAATGAAACGACTTGGACTGAGATGCCATGAAAACACGGCTAAACTCTCGAGATAACGTTCTAGAATAAATTATTTCACGAGATAATGTTCTCCCAAGATTAATTGTTCAAATAGGATGAAATCTACAGTGTTGGCCGTAGGTCGCCATGCCTTCCGGGCGACTTACTACGTGGCCAACCATGCACGTCCCCAAGCATAGGTCGTCATGCCCTCCTGGCGATCCTGTAAGTCGCCATGCACTCCTGGCGACCTTGTAGGTCGCCATGCACTCCCTCCTGCTCCTCGTGTGATTCCTCTTGCCCTCGGATGCCCTCGCATAGCTCGCTCGGATAGTCTCGGTCGGATGCCCTCGGTCGGATGGCCTCGGATGCCCAGTGTGTTGGAACGTGCATTGCACATGCAATCTCTCTCATAGCTCGCCGGGATGGCATTGCGACCTAGTAGGTCGCCCAGATGGCATGGCGACCTACGGCCAATACCGTAGATTTCATCTTATTTTAGCAATTAATCTTGGGAGAGTATTATCTCGTGAAATAATTTGTTCGAGAACGTTATCTCGAGAGTTTAGCCATGAAAACACACGTACAACTCATTAGAATTAAATATCTTTTTGGTTAAATTCTTTTATTAATCTGGGATAAGTATAAGGTAACACCTGTTCAGTGATAACTCTCAATCATTTGATATTGAATGCTCACATGCCCCTGACATTTATGGTGCTCGAACTCAGAACCTCGAATAACAATAATTCTTTTACTATTAGAGTCACTTGGTTTGTACTATTCAAATTGAATTGAGTATAAATTAAATGTCACGCACCGAAATAAATCACTAATGTGTTATATTGAAATACACCATTTTTAGCTAATTCATGATTAATATAAGACTTTAGTTTTGTTTTAAAACTAAATTAAAAGCCATTAAAGCTTCTCTCAACAGCGATCATAGTTGAGACAAAATTTTTAATTTTTTAAAAAAATTTAGGGGACTATAAAGTAATATTTATTTAAAATCTTTCATAATTATTAATAATTCATATATTTAAAAACACAATTATTTAAACTCAAGCATAATATTTTAATATTATGTAGTTTTCCTAATTGAAGCGAATAGAAGGTTGAAAACATAACTAAAAGAGAAACAGATTTTTTTTAATTAATATTAGGTTGATTAAAAAAATCAAAGCAGGTGTGGTGCTGAAGCATTAGTGAAGGAGATGGCAACAAATGAGCCAATGAAATGGTGTTAATCCTGATAATGTTGTGTCGTGGCAAGCATTCATATCCAGATATGAACCACACATGCATGTCCACGTGTCAAAACATATCCACCATCTCCAGATTTTCTATCTCATCATCAAATAGAAAAGCCGACGAAGCCGTTGCCTTTACAGAGAAGAAGAAGAAGGAATTGTGAGTAATAATGGCAGCCTCAGTTATGGCATCTTCGGTTAGCCTCAAGCCTTCTTTCAGAGTCGAGAGATCGGGTGTGAGGGATCTCCCGTCCCTTGCTAGGGCACCTTCTTCCTTCAAGGTTGAAGCCAGTGGCGGCAAGATCAAGACCGACAAGCCTTATGGTAATCATCTCTCTCTCTCTCTCTTCCTATTTTATTCTAATTTCATCTTCAGAATTTAACATTTTATAATAAGGGAAGATTATATTAATTAGAGAGTCTGGTTAATATTAAACAAGGTTTAGATCCATCACTTGGACTTGAGAATAGTGTCGGTTAAGAACAATTTAATAGAACAAGGAGAGATTAAACCGCCTACAAATTAAGTTTTTTCAAAAAATAATATCAAAGTTCAAATTATGAAATAACAAATTAGATTAAAAGAATAGTTTACATAATAATACAAAAATATAATAAAATCTATCGAGTGATTACAATAGTCAAAAGAAATGTTATTCTAAGTTCGAGCATTATTATAATATACAAATTCGTATTATCAATAATTAAAAAAAATTATTAACCTATACTATCTTCTATATATTTAATGTTTCTTTATTAATGTATAAGAAATTATTTTACTAAATATAATTAAGCTCTTTTAATAATGGGTTTTGAACGTTTTCAAAGGAATCAACGGTGGAATGAACTTGAGGGATGGTCTTGATGCCTCCGGAAGGAAGGGAAAGGTTGGTATTTCCTACTCTTTCTAGCCTTTCCCTTTTGTGCCAAAAAAAATAGTTGAAAATTTATTGTATATATCTTGAGAATTTAGCCTAAATTTGATGCAGGGAAAGGGTGTTTACCAATACACTGACAAATATGGAGCTAACGTCGATGGTTACAGGTATGATACATAATCCTCATGCCTACCGCATGTGTTATTCATATATACATGCAGTAATGAACACATGATTTTATATCAAAAGGTAAAATTATAAAAATATTAGGATGAAATAAAATTACCAACAATATTTAAATTATACGAGAGTTTAAAATTTATTAAAAATGATTCTCTCTTAAACGTCCTCCGTCCATCCCAGTATACATGTATGGGAAGTTCTAATATATATTTGTGATGGTTGAAACGCAGCCCTATCTACAACACCGACGATTGGTCTCCCAGTGGTGATGTTTATGTTGGCGGTACGTATACAACTTCTTTGGTTCAAATACTCGACACTCGTAGAAGTAAATTTGGTGTGATCGTGGAACTAAATATGCTTTAAAACGCCATCGCTTGCAGGTACTACCGGATTGGCAATCTGGGCCGTCACGCTCGCCGGGATTCTCGCCGGAGGTGCACTTCTTGTTTACAACACAAGTGCTTTGGCACAGTAGATTTCTCTATGGTTGTCGAAATATAGCCTGTCCTATGTAATTGTTCTAATCGGAGAACCGATCCATGAAGCACTTTGCATAACCTTTATGTAGAATATTTTGCCTTGGACTGAATTGAGGTCTATGTATTTAAAACTTTTGATTTGCTTTCTGTTGTTCTCTCCATGAACAAAATCGTCTGGGATTACTTTGCGCATGTCACGAATATGGTATCAAACTGACACGTAAAGGACGTAATTAACCACGTATTTTAAACATAGAAAATAATTGTAAAAATTTTAATCTATGTTACATTACCAAAATAATATGAGTAATTTTAAGAGATGGTACGATTTTTAAACTAATTTCTTAAAAAGAACTTGATTTAATGAATCAAATAAGAAAATAATATCACTTCGTCGATAGGTTATCAACAAGATGATGATAAGTTAACAGTTGTTTACTTTGTCTGTTATACTAAAATAATATCATTTTGACGTGGTTATTCATTTCAGAGATGCATCTATTTTGTCATTAGATTTTTAAATATTTTTTTGACATTACATTTTATAACAATCGTTGACACTTAATCACTATCTTTCCCCAATATCTTTCGAGACAAAATCGATACCAGTATTTTTCCTCAATATTTAAACAATTTTCTTGTAGTTACCATGAACAATTGAATATTATAAATTGTTCAATAAATGACATAAAAATATCAAAATTAATTCTAAATATTAAAAAAATAGTACGTTTTCCAGAATATTTGAAAAATATTCAATATTTTTCATAATTAGGATAATTATTAAAAATGTATAAAGGTTTTAACAATTTAATTATTTTTTATCGTAATTACTACAAATATCGATGCATGTACAAATTTTTTGGTAACTAACTTATTTTTCTCGTACTTTTGCAACGACTTCAATTGTCCGATCAAAGAATTGCTAAATATTTTTTTTGTAAAATTACATCCGATGTTTTTGTAATTAAAAAAAACAATGTCATCATCTTATTAATTTTTTCCCTTAACTGATTTTCTAACTTCGAAAAAAGTTTGATGTGACCCTTTAATTAATATTTTTCGTCGTTGATCGTTATCGTGTTACCGTGACAGTTCACGGTGTTAAGTGTTAACGTGACGGCTCACAGTGTTAACGTAGAAGTTCATCTTTCATATTTGAATTATCAATTTAACCTATCTACCATGTTATCAACCACCATGGACTATCACGTCTGCACCGTAGACCGCTATGTCAATACCGTGAACTACCACATCAACACTGTAACAGTCAACGAAAAAAAAACGTTGGTTAAAAGGCCACATTAAATTTAATTTCTGAGTTGAAGATCACATTAAAAATAATAATATGAAAACCACATTAATTTGTTTAAAAAGTATAGAAATCTGTTATACTTTTTTTTACCTATTGTTTTTTTATCTCACATTAAAATTCACTTCTTACAATATGGAAAACAGTCGCACGATACATGTAGACATTAACAAAGGAAATTGATTGTCATCCTACAGTAGTGTCACCTAACGAGGAAAGCGTATGCCAGCAAAGAAAGAGTGGCCAAATTTTCATCTTTGTGAGACGATGGCTAAGTGACTGTTTTTTCAAAACCCTTATCCCAACTGCTACCCCATCTGGGATCGGACGATTTTCTGGTTGTCAACACGAGTCTATAGATTGCATCGACCGATCTTTTGTCCTCATTTCCCGGCCTGAGGGCTCTAGACGTTGAATAAAAAAGAGATCGCATTGCGATTTTGTTGATCATTTTCGTAAATCTAAAAAAAGTTGATCAAAATCGTATATTATCTGAGATTTTTGATCACTGAGGTTATTTTCTCAAATATAAATAAGGTGACGTGACCGATTTGGTTGAGTTATGTATGTAAATTCCAACTATGTTATGGGTCTTCAGCTTTTACATTAAGCCTCTTTTTCCAACCACATACGTAAGACCACCGACCCTTAATATTATAATGTAGTTTTATAATCTACCTTTTTCAGATGCATGCAAAAACAAAGTCAAACCTCCTCGTAATATAAAAGGGTACCAACACACTTCTCACAGTCCCGGTACCTGAGGAGGAGAGAATCCAACATCATGCCCCCAAGAATTGGAAAACGAGCAGGCAAGAAGAACAATTCATGGAAGAAGATCAAGGTACACAAATTTTAGTGTTTTTAGCCTTTCTTTTCTGATAAAATCTTTATTTACTTTTGTTGCTGATTGGAAGGAGGAGGAACTGAAAATAAAGAGGCTTAAAGCTGAGTTAGCGAATGTGAAGTCGGATACAAGCAGCACATTGAAAGCCTTGGAAGAGCTTCACCTTACAATCACCCAGATTCGGGAAATGATTCGTCCCCTGTTGCCACCTGACTGGCTCGATGCTCAACTCATTGCCGTTTTGCATGGCGGTTGATGAGCTTCTCTTGAATAATGGATTATAGATGTTTCAGTCAGAGTCTCAAGTGTTTTATCATAGATTGTATTATTATGTTTTCTGGGTATTATGCAGTTTGCTGGATTGGTCGTTACGGACCACTCTGTCGGGATTAATGAAACATTGATATATAAAAACCAAACATATGCTGAACTCTAAGTTGTTTCCAATCTTAAGAAATATTTGGGAGATGAGAATCTTTAATTTCATTAATAACTAATCATAACATCATCTCTTTATTTGAAGTAGTTTTCAAGTTACCAATTGACCGACTACACTTTTATATGTATATAATAAAGCAAGAAACCTAGTCTAACTACAAGTTTATTTTCCGACACAATCTGTTGGGGCAAAAGAGACGGTCCTGTTTTGAAGATCATATTCCACCTGAAAATTTACTTGTGCATAGCTTCCAAAGACAGAGGGGTTAGAATTGGTTGGAACTATCATCATACAAACCAAGTTGCCGTTAACTTGAAATGTGTTGATCGGTCGCAACCGAATGTCGGCACCGGTGAAATGGAACACCATTTCCGGAACATTGATGTTAGTCCCGGCCACATAACACAAGTTAAATGTGCCTGAAGGGTCTTGCACCGGCTTTTCTACAATGGCATCTTTCACCATAGCCTCTACGCCATTATATAAATCTTGTTCTAGGATCGTTAATGTAATCGCAGAAGCAATGACGACATTCCCTTGGCTTGAAGACGACCATGCGGTCTTGTTTCCTACGGTAACACCTTCGAGAGTAAGGTAGTAGAACGATTGAGGGTAATTGGACACAAGAGGAGTCGAAACAGAACCGGGACGAGAAGTTATCGATTCTTGTCCGAATATTAGTTTACCACTAGATTTTGCAGAATCTGGAGCAAAACAATAGGAAAATCTGTAATTAATTTGAGTTGCTTTCTGAGAAATTAATGAAAAAGGCCCTCCTCCTAGGCCGACAATTCCAGCAAAGCCAGGGTGTCCGAAGTTAACTTGATTATTACGTCCACAGCCAAATATAGACATGGGGAATGCGATTTTTTCGCCATTTTCGGAATCGATACTCAAGGTATCGGAACTCAGGATTCCAAGGGTACTCGACCCTTCCGGATAGGTAATATTATATTGACAATCATTGGTCTTGAAGCATTGTTCTCCACTCAAAGCTTGACAAATCTGTGAATCGCAAGAAAACGCTTGGTAAGTAGAAGACGCTTCGGGATCGAAAAGAGAAGAGCCTTGAGAGTAACACCGAGTACACGGAACACATTGTATCCAAGTAAGGTCGGTTGTTGTATCAACAATGGCAAAGTATTCAACAGGTGGGGTTCCAAAGGACAGGTTCATCAGATAAAAGCCCTGATCACTCGGAACAACGATGGATTTGGCGACGTTGTCCTTAATCGAAGACTGTAAGAGTTCGACTTGGTGCATTGAATGAATGGCATTTTTTCTTAGGATCTCGGAGGAGACTAGAGAAGCATTGTAGAAGGGAGACAGTGGTGAATGGCGATGAACAAGATCAACACTGAAACCATATGGTGCCTTTACAAGGATAGATGAAATGGCAGTGAGCAAAAGAAGCAGTCGATGATGCATCGTGCCACAAAACGAATGACTACTCTATGTATATACCACTTTGCATACGCAAATACTTATACTGGGATTTTGAACAATTTTTTTAGTATAAATTTCCTCAAAGTTCGACTGTTATGAATGATGAAATTAATGAATTCCAATTGCATGAACCTTTTATACAGAACAAATTGCGGTCATCACTTGGGTGCCACCTTGTTTGTTAAGCTTTTCATTATGAAAATGGATAATCATGTGAAATGGAATCATAATTTATACTCAAAAAGCATGTTAAACTTAAAATCAATTGATAATGAATAAAAGGACACAAATAATTTAAAAAATTACCCCAAAATGGGGAAGAAAGAGTGTGTTCTTATTGCCAAGAAAAATTTATGGGCTCACTTTGTGTGAACACAGGAGCTGACTCAAGCGATTTGATGGATTATATTACAACATGTATTAGTTTAATATTCAAAATATTAAATTAATTTAAAGTTAAGTTGTAATAAAATATGATATCAATTTAAACATAATATAAATACATGAGAAAAATAATCAGAATTACACCCATCATGACAAGTGAATGGAGGAAGGGTGCTATGGTTGTTACCTTTCTGTATTGGCTTCCTTTGTGTGAGCTGAATGGAGGAACTCGGTGGGTTAGATTATATAGATCATTAATAAATGTTCTTTTGGTAATTAGACTATTAATATAAGAAACATTTGTAATTTTAAAAAGGTTAAACTACATGTTTAGTACCTTAACTCTCAGTTTCAAAAAAAAATACCTTAACTCTCACTTTTGTTCTATTTTGATCACCTAATTATTTTTTAATAAATTTTGTCTAATGTTATATTTTAGTCACTCGTTCGTTAAAAAATTAGCATAATTGTTGACATGATATTTTTTTATTTTTTTAATAATGACATGAATTACCTTATGATGACATGTTAAATCTCTAATATTGTTTTAATAATCTTCTCACCTTGGTCATGGATTTTTAAATTTAAAAAATTATTGGATTGACTATTGTTGTAACCATTTTTTCCAAAATGAAAACGATTTTTATTTTAAAAAGGTGTAAAAAATTATTTATTTTAAAATCGAATAAAATTTAAATCGGAGCTGCCATCGACCTTTAGGTTAGGTAGACCGAATACCTGAAAATGTTTTAAAAAATAATTTAAATAAATATAAAAATCACTTTTTAAAACAAAATCGATATGCATTTACCAAAAATTCATTTTTTAGTGGGGAAGGGTAAGTACTCCCACATCACCCAAAATTAATACCTAATCGCTTATACATCATCCTGGTAGTGGAACTAAAAATGCTAAAGTAAAAAATTATTCCTCAATTTATTGTATTCTTCGTTGATTAATTCGTTTCGAACCTCCAAGAATATTCTCGATTTTTTTTAGAATAGACCACGAGATTTGCACGTCCTCCATCGAGAAGGCTATCCCCTCTATCTCTTCCCATTATGGGAATATTCCTTCCTCGTTTATTAGGACTTCATATTAAATATGAAATAAAATAGAAATTAAGGAATTAAAGCAACATAATTGTCGCAACCGTCTTTCGGTTGGCTTCGGAATTGGGCTTCGACTTGAAAAATGTGGATTAGAGTCGCCACCGATCATTTATTTAAAATAAATGGGTTGATCGGATACCCTATTTCTTACATGATCTGCGTCTTTCCAAAGATGTGTCGGGTTCGGGAGTCGGTTACGGTCAAGGAAGGATTAACACCCTTGAACCGCCCTTTCGGTACTACGTAATTTCCAGTTGTCTTTGATTAAGAAAATTGCAAGTTAAATTAAAAGGTAAAATTTGATCCGAATTACTTACCCTTAATAAGTTTACAGAAATACCCTTAAAAAATAAGATGTTAAAAGAAAATAATAATAATAAAAGAAAGTAACAAAACTAAAGAGTAAACCAAAGAAATAAATGAAATCAATAATAATAAATATAAAAATTGGATGAAACAAAAAAATGAAATTGAATAAATAAAATAAATGAAGATAAAATATATATACAAAAAGAATAAAAAAGTAAAATGTTTTTTTAAAAAAGAAAATAATAATAAGAGCAAAGAAACTAAAAATATAATAAAATAAATAAATAGTATACATAAAATAATAAAATATATATTTATAAAAATATAAAATATATGTATAATATAATAAATACTAAATAGTAATAATAATAATAAATAAATGAAAAATAAATATACATAATATTAACTAAAAAAATAGTAATCATAGAAATATAAAATAAAATGAAGTAAGAATATATATATATAACATTGGGAAAATATAGTAAAAAAATAGTAAATAAGTAAACATATATAAAAAAAATATAATATATATATAATAAAAAAATAATATAATATAACGCAAAAAATGAAAAAAAGAGAACTATAATAAATAAATAAAATATAATAAAAAATATATATATATATATACATATAAATAATAAGGGTTAAATTAAAACAAAAAATGAATTAGGGGTCAAAATTAAAAGCTAATTGAATAAAAAATGAATCTGCGTGTATTTAAAATCAGGGAGATCGAAATGGGCATTAATCCACTGTAGAGGCAAAACACACGGATATAAAAATCAGGGATCCACATAACCCGTTTATAAAAATTCGAATAGTTTTTTAAAAAAACACAAGCCTCGGGGGATAGATCTACAAAAATAGATATCGAAAATGCCCCCGTTCATTGGCCAAAAACACTTCTCTCGATTTTCTTTCGAATCAAAACACAGCAAGGGTAAGGAAAAATAACATGCGAAACTATGAACTTTACCTTTCAAAATATAAATGCTTCGAAAAATGGCTACGAGTTGCTTGTAATTTTTTGCTTGATATTTCATATATCTCTTCCGAATGTGTTACAATAGTGAGTTACAATGACTATTTATAATGCTTGTGGATCCTATCTTTATGAGTTTAAATAATAGTAGAACTCTATCCTATTTTTAGAAGTTTGAATCCTAACAAAATTCTATCATATTTTTAGGAGTTTGAATTTTAGTAGGACGAAAAGATGTGTTTACAATAACAAAGATAAACAAGTATGAGGTTACGTTTAAAATAAAATTATTATTTTATTTAATTATTCATTATTATATTTTTTTAGTTCAGACGCACTTGATTATTTTTAAGTTCACTCTCGTTCGAATGTCATATTGAATCATTTATAAACGAGTTTGTTTGTGAACATAAACAAACCGAACACACATCTGTTCGTGTTCGTTCGTTTATTAAATGAACATAATTTTTTTGTTCATATTCGTTTATTTAGTTTAACAAACGAACATAAACGAACATTACACGAATGATTAACGAACAATTCATCGAATACTCTGTTCATTTATACCTCTACATATACTATAATATTTACGGTAGATCTCAAATTAATTTTAGAGATAACTTAATAAACCGATTCTTTTATCCTAGGGGGCCAATTTTAAATTCCCCAGCAATTGTTGGTATATTAAATTCCCCATGTCATTTAAAAGTAATATTTTATTGGTAAGGGTAGGAATGGAATCCCAATTCCCAGCAATTGTCTCTATATTAAAAATTAACAATTGAGTTGGCACGCATTGAGATTTGAGATATCATCGTGTTGTCTCTATATTATACATATATTAAAAATAGAGAAAATCGCCTCAGTGACCAAAAAAAAGTTATAATATACGATTTTAACCAACTTTTTTTGGATTTGCCAAAATGACCAACAAAATCGCAACGCGAAATAAAAATCGCAACGCGATCCCCAGAATCGCAAATCAGTTTCCAAAATCGCAACGCGATTCTTGAAAATCGCAATGCGATAGTACAAATTCGCATTGCGATTTTCCAAAATCGCAACGCGAATATGAAAATCGCAACGCGAACACATAAATCGCAACGCGTATCCGTAAATCGCAACGTGTATCCGTAAATCGCAACGCGTATGGGTAAATCGCAATGCGTATCCGTATATCGCAACGCGTATCCGTAAATCGCAACGATAATACATAAAATCGCAACGCGATATTTAAAGCGCCATTATAATCGCTACGCGTATTTTATTTTCAAATTACAAAAAGAATATTAAGACAAAATCCCGTAATCGCAACTCATAACCTAAAACCTAAAATCACAACTCAGTCCCATCTCCATCCCTCACTCTCTACGGCGAAGAAATCCGTCCCCATCTCCGAAGATTTCCGTCCCCATCTCCGGCGAAATCCCTCACAACCATTCACGGTCAGAAATCCCTCACATATTCAGAAATGGAAAATCAACCTCCGAGGGTTAGTTTTTTTAATTATTTTTATTTTGAAATGTTTGCATTATTGTAGGTTTTTCATATTGAAACTGATGATAAGTTTACTGGTCATTTCAATAATAGATTAACCATTTCACTTAGATTTCATTTCGCGTTACGATTCTGTCGTTGCGATTTTCATTTCGCGTTGCTATTCTCTCGTTCCGATTTTCAAGTTAGTATTTGTCTTTGTCTTTGTTCTGTCTTTTGGTTTGAAGTAATGCAATCCATTCAAGTCAATTTGCAAAGAGTCGAACGATATAAATGAAAATCGCAACGAGAGAATGACTGTCGCAACGAGAGAAATGAAAAGCGCAACGAGAGAATCGCAACGCGAAATGAAAATCGCAACGAGAGAATCGCAACGCGAAACCAAATCGCATTGCGATTTTCATTTCGCGTTGCGATTCTCTCGTTGCGATTTCATTTCGCGTTGCGATTGTCATCTCGCGTTGCGATTCTCTCGTTGCGATTTTCATTTCAACCAAAAGACAAACTGTGTTGCAAATTTTAGTTTCAAGAATAAACTACTATTTTTTATGTTTATTGTTTTTGGTATATCTTCACAGTGTAGTTTTGGTATATCTAACTTGGTATTTTATTGTTTTTGTAGAAATTTTTTCGGCTCAATTGACCTTGAGAAATAAAGTCAGCCTGGCCACTACAATTGCAAAGAAGCTTTCACCTGC